GTTCATTAAAGATGTTGGGTGCGGTTAGGACCAAACTTTTTCAGCTCAGAGTGTTAGTGGTCCTGGAACCCATAGTGTCAAACAGGTTCTGCACAATACGTCCATCAGATTCTACTGTTCAGCAACATTGTCACTGAATTTCAGAACTCTGGCATGATATAATAATCAAGGATTTCGAAGGCAAAAACTTTTCTCGCCCATGGGCGAAATATTTCAATATCGCTATAAAATCGTTGAATTAAGTTAAAATGAGTTAAATTTTGTGTCATGATACTTAAATAAATACATTGAATGTATTTGAGAAACAAAAACATGAGTTTTGAGTAAAGGAACATATTCTCGCCCATGGGCCTACCCATGGGCCAGACTTCGCCCATGGGCAGGCCCATGGGCGACATAGTCTAAATATTGAGTTTTTGAACATTTTATTTTTCATTTTTTCATTAAATTTTGTGTCATGATACTTCAATGAATACATTTAATGTATTTGCGAAACAAAATCATGAGTTTTAAGTAAAGGAACATATTCTCGCCCATGGGCCAAACCTTTTTCTCGCCCATGGGCGAAATATTTCAATATCGCTATAAAATCGTTGAATTAAGTTAAAATGAGTTAAATTTTGTGTCATGATACTTCAATAAATACATTTAATGTATTTGCGAAACAAAAACATGAGTTTTAAGTAAAGGAACATATTCTCGCCCATGGGCCTGCCCATGGGCCTACCCATGGGCCAAACCTTTTTCTCGCCCATGGGCGAAATATTTCAATATCGCTATAAAATCGTTGAATTAAGTTAAAATGAGTTAAATTTTGTGTCATGATACTTGAATGAATACATTAAATGTATTTGCGAAACAAAATCATGAGTTTTAAGTAAAGGAACATATTCTCGCCTATGGGCCAAACCTTTTTCTCGCCCATGGGCGAAATATTTCAATATCGCTATAAAATAGTTGAATTAAGTTAAAATGAGTTAAATTTTGTGTCATGATACTTCAATAAATACATTTAATGTATTTGCGAAACAAAATCATGAGTTTTAAGTAAAGGAACATATTCTCGCCCATGGGCCAAACCTTTTTCTCGCCCATGGGCGAAATATTTCAATATCGCTATAAAATCGTTGAATTAAGTTAAAATGAGTTAAATTTTGTGTCATGATACTTGAATGAATACATTAAATGTATTTGCGAAACAAAAACATGAGTTTTAAGTAAAGGAACATATTCTCGCCCATGGGCCTACCCATGGGCCTACCCATGGGCCAGACTTCGCCCATGGGCAGGCCCATGGGCGACATAGTCTAAATATTGAGTTTTTAAACAATATTTTTTTCATTTTTTCTTCCTTGGTATGTTCCCATGAAAACGGCATGTTTAATTTTGTAAATACCTTTAACCGAGACTGGGCAAAGAGCGTAGAGTTTCTGGACTTTTGGGTTTCCAGAATTAAAATGGGACGTGTTAATTCCTTTCATTTTAAGATTAGGTTTTACACCTGGGAAGACTTGAACGTGAAATTGAAAAGTTTCTGTTTTCTCCGGATTCAACTTTACTTGCTTTCATTTGGTAATTTTCTCCAAATAGGCATTAATATTTTACGCAGTAGTATTTGGAATTGTCCATTTGGGGAATTGTCTGGACCCCACCGCAAACACAGTAAACAGAAATTCCAATGTGAATAACATGTACAATAATTTGTTGGCTCGACATGCAAGACTCCATAATTTTAGTTATAATGTAAAAGTCATAGTAATATTAAATTATATTTTAAAAAAATCATTAATGTATTTGACATGAATGACGAAGGGACACACATTGTATTTTATAATCGAGCAGCTTTGCCATGATCTCTCAACAAGGGATGCTTTATGACTCGTCTAGGCCTCAGTCCTGCTGCTTTCAGGCAGTTCTGGTGCTGAAACGACGATTGGGCAACCACAGCTGTTTCAGACGAGTACTTGTTAAAAAGGGTTCCTCGGCGTTTGAGACGAAGAAGATCCCTGTCTGCTTGATGTGTCATCACAGGAGGTCTTCCGGATCTGGAACGGTCCTGTACATCACCGGCCTGACCATGTTTCTCGACTAAACGGCTTACCACAGTGTGATGATACCCCAAATTCCAACCAATGGCATTACATGACATTCCTGCGTTATACATTGATTATTATTTGCCATCTTGTGGCGTTTGATAATCGCCTTCATGCCATGATCACACAATGTCATGGAATAACTGTTTAAAACCGAGCTTAAGAAAGCAATTTTAACGTTTGGATATACTGCTTTTAGAGATACTCGAGGGTAGCAAGCTGCACGGGCATACCATGCATGGCACGTAAGCTTTCGTCACGCATTACTCATTACATCATCTCGAGAAAACATAATTCTTCCCATAATTATATATTTCATGACTGTTACAAACAATAATGAAATATATTAGGATGTGCTTAACTTTTTTCTTTGTGTATATTTCCCTATCAAGAGTTGTGCATCCATCTTGTACAACTGATAATATTAACGCGAAAATCCTTCAACTCTGATAAGAGCTATTCCAGTCAAAGATGAAACATACAATAGTGTAGAACAGAATCTTTCTCATAACTGAATAAGAAGTTAAGGCGGGGCATTATTACAGGGCTCAAAATGTCTGTATTAGATGTGAAACGTCAACCTGTACATATGGGACATTTGAGTGTGTCATTCCATATTATAAATAATGGTTGATTCTTCAGGTCCTGGAACGCATTAACCAAGACAATGTAATACATTGGCACTTTCCGATCTTGGAGACACAAGGATTTGATAAACCCGGTATCGAGGCAAGATAATGTGTACAAGCAGAAAGAAGTTATATTCACAGCACCTATATAATGTCCCTTCTACTAATTTAGGGGATTTAATTGATGTCGACGTTAGTGGACTCCATAAAAACACTTTATACGATCTTGTTCGTGCCGAAAACAATAAATGGATTATGCTCGAAACAAAAATCGAATGATTACTGAATATGGTTCATTGCCCCATCATATGTGATGACGGGTAAGGCACATCATTTAACTAAGATAATTAATAGTGGCCATGGGATTGTACTCGGGGCTTATATCACCTCAAAATGAAAGAGTGTGTTAGTCGCTCCCCTGCAAGATGACCCAGGCTATATGTTTTTGAGTTGTCCAGCATTAAAGATATCAGCTTGAATTTGGTTACTGAATTCAATGAAGTATTTAAAAACTTGCAGAATATGCCCAGTGGTGCTACACTTCTTATTAAAGCCTTTGAGATATTACCGGGTCTAAGAATTAAATGGTTTAAAAGTCATGAACGTCAACGTTGTATTATCAGCATGGGAAACAAGTTCATTAATACAAACTTCACTGACATCCAGGCCTCTAATAAGAGGAGCATTTCACTTACTAAGATATTTATGCCATATAATATACACCTAATAAGGGTGATGTATACTCTCAAGACATTAGTGAAATAAAACATCAAATAGCGAAGGACCAATTAAACACTCTTGTATGATATAATAATTTATAATATGGGTTTATATCCAGTGCTTGATGAAGCATCTGAAAAGATGGATACTGTTGATTGATTTCGATTTCAACAAATAAGTGAAATAAATCATCAAATAGAGAAGGAGCGTGATTCTAGAATTTGATTGTACAAAAAGTATCTCAGAGCTGTAAATGCTCTCGACGGAGTCGACACTGCACTTGTAACAGCTAGCACGGGACTTGGTGTAGCTGGTGTTATCAATTATCAACTATAATCGCCATGCATTTCATCCTTTGCATGGAGATAGCAGCCGGAGTCTCTGGACTGGCAGGAATAGCTCTTCAATTTATTTCTCGTAAGTTGCAAAAGAAACCATTGAAACATGATAGTATTCTTGTATTGGCCGAAGCAAAGTTAAACAGCCTTGAGGATCATATTTCAACAGCACTGGCTGATTGCAAGATATCCGAGGAGGAGCTTCATTAAGTGTTGTCAGAACTCACCAAATACAACGCAATGAAGCAGGAGATTCGATCAAATTCTCGTAAGACCAGTGGTATAAGTGAAGACAAGAAAAAAACCTTCATAGAACAGGGGAAACAACAAGAGCGCCAAGTATTCCGTGCCCAAAACAAAGAACTGGTTCGAAATTAGGAATAATTTTTTTCCTCGATACGCATCTTGATCTATGATGATCATTGGATCGCATTGCATAATTTGCATGAAAAATACCTCTGTAGTTGCATTATTGGGGTATGAATCTGGTCTAGCCGACAGTGCGGTGGAACCCCTTTTCATTACAAATTAGCTTAGTCGCATGACGATCATTAGATCGTATTGCAAAATTTGCATTAAAAATGACCTCTGTAGAAGCATTGTTGGTGTATTAATCTGGCCTAGGTGGCAGTGAGTTAGAACCCACATTCCCTATACTACTACTGACTATCTTGGACCTATGCGTAAGTTGTTGGTGCTCCATAGTATTCAGAATATCAGATACATTGTGAGCATGGTTTGTTTTCTGTTGAATGAACAATTACTTTTACCACAGAACAATTGTCAAGATGACATGCAGTAGGAGCGTATTTTGAAATGAGGATTAAGTTTGGTTTTTCCCGTATTTTCTCACAATTATCCGTACATTTTCTCTCAGTACCGATTTTCATATCTCTCTCAGTTTTGTTTGCGATCGTTCGGTCATTGGGGTTATCTACGCTGCCCAGCTACATCAACGGGGAACAACCCACGTTCCTCCTAAAAAATAACGTCATCAAGTTGCGTGCACATGAACAATAATGGAACAGTGTTTTATCGTGAGATGAACCACGTTTCATTCTTCAGTGTTCTTTGTGATTTGTAGCGTAGCTATCTTGTATAGTAACATACATAACAGAGTTGTTAAGAGTACTTTGATTAGGAGATTTTGGCTTTTCAATTCTATTGGAGAAGGTACAATATAACTGTGCGTATACATGTGCTCAGCGTTGCATATTCACCTGTATTATCAACGGCTTCCATGAATAACACCTCAGATCTTGTAAATATTTAGGCATCAGATGGAGAGGAAATGTTCTCAGCTCACAATCACACTGTTCCTGTACCTGGTGTGACAAAAGTAATCATGACTGTGGCGTTGAGTAGCTGAGTTGGTAAGTTGGTGAATGGATAGGCGAGCGAATGATTGAGATGACTGGGTTGAAGAATGGATGGTTGGAAGAATGAATGAATAAATTGATGAGTGTTTGTTTGTTGTTTAACACCACACTCAGCAATATCCCAGCTACATGACGGTGGTCTGTAAATAATCGAGTCTGGACCAGACAATCCAATGATTGACATCATGAGTATCGATCCACGCAATTGGTATACGATGAGATGTATCAACCATGTCAGCGAGCCTGACCACCCGATTCCGCTAGTCGCCTCTTACGACAAGCACAGTCGCCTTTTACGGCAATCATGGGTTGCTGAAGACCTATTCTACCCCGGGTCTTCAAGGGTTGAGTGAGCGAGTGATGACTGAATGGGTTACAAGAAGTGAGTGTGAGTGAATGAGTGAGCGATAAAGTGAGTAAATGAGTGGGATGCTGAGCACGAATAAATAGGTGGGTTCATTTTCTCCTCCCACCCCCCAACCCCACCCCACCACAACCACCCGCAACCAAAAGAATGAATGAATCTGTGAATGAGTGATGAGAAGGTGGATGGAGTTGCACATTGTCTTAATGCGTACATCCAACACCATCCTAATTAATTGTAGTCCAAAGAAGTCCCCGCGCCCTATGGTCTATCATCCTCTAAGTTTCAATGTCTAAGGCAACCGTTAAAGGTAGCTATCGAACGATACCCAAAAGCTGGAAGACCTAACACGTTACACGTGACCAATGGAATTACCTGTCTCCAACCAAAACAAGTGTGCACCAATTTGGAAGAAATTCCACGTGACTTCAGAAAAGCCCCGTTGTGGGATAAACAGTGAATGGGTACCTCTTGCTATATATGCCACACCTTTAGTCGTTCATGCTTCTTCAGACCAAGATCGTAGTAGGCGAAGGTAAAGTTGACAAGTTGGGGAAAGACTATTTCCTGCAGGTTCTTAATCAAATCCAGAGACTCTGAGAGGTGATTGGACGATGCACCTGTGACGAACGTTACACGTGACCGGAAGTGGGTGGGACTTAGGTGACCAATTATCTTAGAGAAGAGTCTTTCATTTATTCCCCTTCCAACGTCTAACACATCTCGCAGATCGTCCATGGCAGTTGATGGATTCGGGGAGGTACAGTTTAAATCCATGCAGGGTACACCTGCAAATCATACAATACGTATTATCTCATTTAATTGACTGTATTGACTGGGGTTTGTGCTCAACAACTTGGAGCCAAATGTTGGGCCCTTGAAACCATATTATTAACTTCTAGATTGAGTGAGTGAGTGAGTTGGATTTAAAGTATTAACAGTATTCCAGTTTTTACACGGTGTGTCAACACGGGTCAAGTGCTGGCAAACATAATCGGGGCGAACATCAAGTGCAAACATAATCGGGGCGAACCGGGATTCGAGACCACAATCATAGGTTTCTGGGGTGCCCAAAGGACGCAACTCTGCACAGCGAACTGCGGCGCCTAAGACTTTTAGATTGATAAACATAATAAAATTGGAGACCCGTGAAGATCAGGGTAAAGAATAGATCAACCCATGCTTGCCGCAACAGGCGACTCTGCTTGTCCTAAGAGGCTGGCTGACTTGATTGATGCTATTCATCGTATCCCAACTGCGTTGATCGATGTTCCTGATGTCAGATTGTCTGGTCCAGACTCGATTCTTTACAGGCCGCCGTCATATAGCCGGAATACTGCTGAGTGCGGCGACAAACAAAGAAGCAAACAAACAAACAGACAAACAAATGATATATACTTACTTTGAGCGCCTTCATCAGAACACGGTACTGGGAGTGGATTGTCCTTCCATAGTCCTTTTTGTTGCAAATCTGCCGTGCAATTATATTGATATTCAATGGACAAATTAAGAAACTATACCTCTCAGTTGAATATTTTCATGTTTGATTTTCAATTGTAAAATATCTTAAGATAGCGATATAATATAGACAATAATGAACTGATGGGTATGTTAGACATTTTATCTATGAAAATCAATAAATTTGCTTTCTTCGGCACAAATAAACAACATTTAAACATAGTTGGGGTCACGTGCTTACAAATTCAATTCTTACTCTAGTTTTCATTGAACTAATTTACAATTATTTGTACACAAAACTATCCAGGCAAAGATATTTGTTTCTGTAGCCGAAACATATAATCTAGTCTTCCTTCAAAATTAATAGTGAGTGAGTGAGTGAGTGAGTGAGTGAGTGAGTGAGTGAGTGAGTGAGTGAGTGAGGCTTTACGCCGCTTTTAGCAACATTCAGCAATATTACGGTGGGGGACACCAGACATGGGCGACCATCTCTATAGAGATTCCGAGTGTTTTAATGATGTTTCATATGTTCGCATCCCTGCTTCAACACTCATTTACGTCCCATCGACGTGCCAGAACCCTATGATCGGGGGTTCGAATCCCAGGTCCGCCCTGATTATGTTTCTGGGTTTGTCAGCACCGTACTCGTTCTTTCACCAAAATGGTAAAAATCTGATACCTGTATCACAAGGTTTTCGTCCTTAATGAAGCTGTCATCAGTGCACCTCTTCAAAGAAGTGTTCAACGAAACTCACTCACTTTGTACGTCGGTGAAAATGAGCAATATACATTTATAATATATATATCTACATACCTCTGATCTTGTCAGTATATACCTGCATTAGTTCCTCCCAAGCTGCGGTGTGGAATTCTATAAGAACCAACAAACAATGGAGATTAGGAAAGGAAGACTTGGTGCATCGGTGATTTTGAGACTGATTTTCAGGGCTCCATTCATATATTTGTCACCTCTGTTTGCCTTTTACGCCCAATGCAATCTACTACGGTTTATATGAGAGGGGGTTAATATTGTATAACATTAGCCATATCAGTCAAGTTTGGACCAGGTAAACCAATGATTGAAAGCATGAGCTACTACGATCAACGCTACGATTTTGACCACCCAGTCCATTTCAGTCGACTTTTACGACAAAAGCGAAAGCGTTTACTTCGAAACAAATGCAGTAACACCTCGTTAAGCATGTTTTATCCGTAGTTCGAGACGAACAGAGTACCGTTTTCAACCATGCAGATTCAGAGACTCCTTAACCCATCTTAATCACTAGAAATACTTTGAATTAATGAGGATTCACTTTCACAAATTAGTAAAAACTATGACAAAGTAGACACAATTGATAGATACTACTACTACTACTACTACTACTACTACTACTACTACTACTACTACTACTACTTCTACTACTACTACTACTACTTGTAGTAGTACGATTCAGACTATATCATGATCATGTGTTTATTAGAAAATTAGAAAATTAGAATTGTTACAAATAACAGTTTCAAATTTCCTTTCAGTTACAGATTACAAACTTGTTACAATTTTCTTACTGTACATATGCAAAAAAACATTTATAACGGATAAGAGCTCTCGTCCAATGAAAGATCGATCTCCATTTGATCAAGTGAAGTAATTTAAATTCTGATTAATGTAGTTATACAGTGTTTTTAAGGGATGCGTGCTGCACGTTACATCTTTTTTCCTTTTTAACAAATGCCTCATATACTAGGAATAAAAATAATGTCTCAGAGTCATTTCTTCCAGGCGGTGCGTCCAAAGTATACAGTTCGTTACTTTTATTAATCTAAAACAAAAAAATGAGCTCATGTTTATGTTGGAAAAATATTTGAGCTCCTAAACATTAAAAAATAAAATCATGCTAATCTCAAACCAAAATCCGCCCCACCTCTTCTACCCCCTTTTGAAAAAATCAAATGGTTGCTCTTAGTTTGTTTGTAGCGCAGCGCAGCAGCAGCAACAGCAGCAACAGCAACGCGCATGTCTGCATCCACATCTACGCTCTCTCGTACTATTCATCTTACCTCTACTTGTACTCGACTTGCTGTGAGCAGTGATTTCATCGTCCAGATATCCGGCTTCGTTGTTGACTGTTTCCGTAAAACAAATGTTCTGACTGTGAATCGTAAGGAAAACACCGAACCCTTTCGAACTGTATCAAAATCTATTATCTCAATAAGTACTTTGGGAACGTACAAATTTGATTTAAAACAAATCCTGTTGGTCTAAAATTTTATTTGGGATATGACGAGGTTTATTCAGATTTACAAACATCGACATTTTTCAATGTTAATGTTATCTTTTGAACAAAACAAGAAGTCATCAAGACGACACGTCTTTATTATGTACATTTAGGAATCAGGGCGACCAGAGTTATAAAACAATCAGACACATGAAGAAATAGTTTAAGTGATTTAGTTTATTTTCAAGCTAATAAAAATAATAAAACATTTGATCAAGTGAAGTAATTTAAATTCTGATTAATGTAGTTATACAGTGTTTTTAAGGGATGCGTGCTGCACGTTACATCTTTTTTCCTTTTTAACAAATGCCTCATATGCTAGGAATAAAAATAATGTCTCAGAGTCATTTCTTCCAGGCGGTGCCTCCAAAGTATACAGTTCGTTACTTTTATTAATCTAAAACAAAAAAATGAGCTCATGTTTATGTTGGAAAAATATTTGAGCTCCTAAACATTAAAAAATAAAATCATGCTAATCTCAAACCAAAATCCGCCCCACCTCTTCTACCCCCTTTTGAAAAAATCAAATGGTTGCTCTTAGTTTGTTTGTAGCCCAGCGCAGCAGCAGCAACAGCAGCAACAGCAACGCGCATGTCTGCATCCACATCTACGCTCTCTCGTACTATTCATCTTACCTCTACTTGTACTCGACTTGCTGTGAGCAGTGATTTCATCGTCCAGATATCCGGCTTCGTTGTTGACTGTTTCCGTAAAACAAATGTTCTGACTGTGAATCGTAAGGAAAACACCGAACCCTTTCGAACTGTATCAAAATCTATTATCTCAATAAGTACTTTGGGAACGTACAAATTTGATTTAAAACAAATCCTGTTGGTCTAAAATTTTATTTGGGATATGAAGAGGTTTATTCAGATTTACAAACATCGACATTTTTCAATGTTAATGTTATCTTTTGAACAAAACAAGAAGTCATCAAGACGACACGTCTTTATTATGTACATTTAGGAATCAGGGCGACCAGAGTTATAAAACAATCAGACACATGAAGAAATAGTTTAAGTGATTTAGTTTATTTTCAAGCTAATAAAAATAATAAAACATTTGATCAAGTGAAGTAATTTAAATTCTGATTAATGTAGTTATACAGTGTTTTTAAGGGATGCGTGCTGCACGTTACATCTTTTTTCCTTTTTAACAAATGCCTCATATGCTAGGAATAAAAATAATGTCTCAGAGTCATTTCTTCCAGGCGGTGCCTCCAAAGTATACAGTTCGTTACTTTTATTAATCTAAAACAAAAAAATGAGCTCATGTTTATGTTGGAAAAATATTTGAGCTCCTGAACATTAAAAAATAAAATCATGCTAATCTCAAACCAAAATCCGCCCCACCTCTTCTACCCCCTTTTGAAAAAATCAAATGGTTGCTCTTAGTTTGTTTGTAGCGCAGCGCAGCAGCAGCAACAGCAGCAACAGCAACGCGCATGTCTGCATCCACATCTACGCTCTCTCGTACTATTCATCTTACCTCTACTTGTACTCGACTTGCTGTGAGCAGTGATTTCATCGTCCAGATATCCGGCTTCGTTGTTGACTGTTTCCGTAAAACAAATGTTCTGACTGTGAATCGTAAGGAAAACACCGAACCCTTTCGAACTGTATCAAAATCTATTATCTCAATAAGTACTTTGGGAACGTACAAATTTGATTTAAAACAAATCCTGTTGGTCTAAAATTTTATTTGGGATATGACGAGGTTTATTCAGATTTACAAACATCGACATTTTTCAATGTTAATGTTATCTTTTGAACAAAACAAGAAGTCATCAAGACGACACGTCTTTATTATGTACATTTAGGAATCAGGGCGACCAGAGTTATAAAACAATCAGACACATGAAGAAATAGTTTAAGTGATTTAGTTTATTTTCAAGCTAATAAAAATAATAAAACATAATTATTTACATAAATATCTTCCTGACGTCCACAGCACCACTGTTGTGAACACCACGAAACATATTGAACCTGCAAAAGAGTTTAAATGTTCAAACATAATTATAAATTGGTAAACTTATCATGATCAGCAATAAATACAAACATCGTCAACAACTTGACTGAACAGCCGCACACTTTCCAACGACTATAATAAATTGTTTTATGATAAAACCATGAAGGCTTAAAACGATTCTTAAATGTTCACTGAAATATATTTTTGAAACAAAAATAAAAGGCATCTTGCAACAATGTATATTTTGTGGCAGACAGTTTATTTGTTTTCACGCATAATTCATTTTTAAAGCATTTTATTGGACAGTTTTCTTTTTCGATAAAATCCCAGTATTCACCTTGCTTAGAATCAACTGCAACAACAATAGCGTAACGCCATCATAATAGTGCGGCGTTTAACAACAAACAATCAAACAAAAACTATCATTAAACACCTTCCAACAATGAGAAATTAAACTTTTATTTTCTATATATTCAGTTTTATTTATAAAATAATTTGATTTATAATTTAATCATTGCGTTGCTTTCTTGTCTGTCATTCAATGCACATGTTCAAACCCCTAAACTTTTAATATTTCATTTTTCACAAATGGTTACGTTAGTGAGTTGCCTCGATCTTTTGTTACCTACTCACACGAACAGATTAAAATAATTTGTTTGTACTACCATATTTCAATTTATTTAATTCATAATACGAAATTAATAATTCATTTATCACAGTATAGATCATATTCGTATATATCACTATCTGATGTTAGGGTTTTATTGCAGAAATTACAATGAATTCAAAATGTAGAAAGATACACAATTTGCCATTATTTAAAATTATTTGAAACTTTGAAACTATACAAAGTATAATAATTAATATGATTAGAATGCCTGTAACGGACAGTGTTTAAGAAAGAAATATTATTCGATAAGTCCCATTTTTCAGATATGCCCTTCAGTTGTATTATTGTATATTTCCAGATAGATGTTTACATTGTAGTTCTCATTATTTGTGGATAATTTAAAAAGCAACATAGAAAATATATATTCTACTATGACGAAAGAATACAGAGCATACAATAACTCGCAATTGTTCAAAAAGAGATTTCAAATCACAATAACATATCTGATATAATCAGAGGTGGAGATGCTTTAATCTCTACATTGTGCCCTTGTCCGTGAGCCCTCGTTCTATTCAGCAAACAGCCCAAACCCGAAACTCCACAATATATCCGATTACACTAACCATGATGGCCCCTGCTGCATTCTCCCAAACGTCAGTTCTCCAGGCGATACTGACACCCTTGTACGTCTCCCAGACCATAGAGAATAAATTTAAAAGGATTCCAGCTCAAGTCTAGAACGATTTGGCAAGCCCAGATTGCCTCAATTCTATCCATGGAAGAAGCGTTAATAAAACAATATTGTTCTTGGCTCCTTTAGATTATATTTTTAACTACGATTTTTTTTACTGACACCGGTACTGTCCCTGTTGAAGCTTTTTATAGCTCGAATAAGAATTTCGAATTATCGTACATTGTTCGATGTCAATACATCAATGACAAGTTAGGATATAATATAGTAATCGTTGATGACACGCTACACTATAATTAACATTATAATCAAGTTGACTAGTATGTGCATTACTACTTTATTCGCTTGGGTCTACGTCACAGCTCATACCACACAATAACAAGACCAGTTTGCCCCCCGCCGTAGCTCCTGGATTATGGTTATAACGGAGTATACCCAGATCGCCTAATTTCCTAAACCAATTAATACCCACATTGTCTAATTACTAGTGAGCCCAGATTGCCTAATCTGTGTGATCACTAATCCATGCGCTCTCCCGGAGTAGGCCAACGTTGAGCAACGGGGAAGTCATAGCTGATTAAGCCTTAAACCAACACTGCTCTTTAGTGGGAATATTAGCGGTGTATAGCTTGCACATGAGTAAAGAATCTTAAACCACTGAGATAGAGAGATCAGTAAATTTTGCCTTTCTCAAATGAAGAGAAGGATATACACACATATAACAGGAAAATGAGATAAATCCAACCCAGCTTTAATGAGATAAATCCAACCCTCCGTGTGCGACATACGCTTGCAGTCGGAAAGCGCACGTTAAATCTCCAATATAAGTAAGAAAGTAATCCAACCCTTCCAACTACAGGTATATTTCACTGTTATCTTGTCTTGGGAAAGTATTTGAAAGACTCATTTTTAAAAGAATGTATAATTACTTTCTGGAGAATAAGCTACTTTCCAAATATCAATCGGGATTCATGCCAAACAATTGTACTACATATCAATTAATTGAAATTTACCATCACATTTCTTATTCACTTGATGATCATAAATATTTTTGTATGATATTTTGTGATATTTCTAAGGCATTCGACAGGGTATGGCACAAAGGTATATTGCATAAATTTCAACAATATGGTATAACTGGTAAATTATTAGCTTGGTGTCGTAGTTATCTGTCAGCCTGTTGCCAAAGAGTATTTATTAATGGTAGTTTATCAAGTAAAACATTCACTAAAGCAGGTGTCCCACAGGGCTCTGTACTGGGGCCGTTCCTATTTCTAGTTTACATAAATGATATTACTGATCAGCTTCAAAATATTACTAGGTTATTCGCCGACGATACATGTATAGGAACTTCATCTACTGATATGGTAATTGAAGACAGACTAAATCAAGACCTTCTCTCTCTCCACCAGTGGGCAAGCACATGGCTTGTAAACTTACATCCAAACAAGACAAAATACATGCTTTTTAGTCACAAACAGGTACAGGATTATCCAACTATTTGCTATGCTAACAGTGCCATTGAACACGTTGAAACCCACAAACACCTGGGGGGCACGTTATCTCAAGATACGAAATGGACTGCACATGTTTCAATTATTGCTAGGTCAACAGCGAAAATGGTTTCAGCTATGCGTAAACTTAAATATAAATGAAATAGATATAATCTGTCCAAAATCTATCTGACATTTATAAGACCTATTCTGGAATACTCGTCGGAAGTATGGGACAACTGTTCTGCTTATAACAAAAATAAACTTGAATTAATACAACTTGACGCTGCCAGAATTGTGACTGGCTTGACCAAATTTGCCTCGAGAGAAAGTTTATATTTCGAAACCGACTGGCTACCACTAAAAGAGAGAAGAAAAATTAAAAAACTTACGACAGTGCACAAAATAATAATAAATGAATGTCCCTCATATCTAAAGGATTTGTTACCCGACAATAGATCAGCTGCTTCAAATTATAACCTATGTAACAAACAGAACATGTCTGTACCTTTTGCCAGAACAAGTACATTTCAGGAATCATTTATAATAGACTCTCTAAAACAATGGAATTCACAAAATGAAAATATTAAAAATAGTATCTCTGTAGCTGAATTAAAAACTAAAATTTATCCAATTGTTATTAAATCTCCAAATTATTTCAATTATGGAAAGCGTAAAATTAATTTTATCCACACAAGACTTAGACATAGATGTAGCAATCTAAATGATGATTTATTTAGGGTTAATTTGTCAGACACTATTTCTTGCCTTTGCGGTTCGCCATGCGAAAATGCTTTTCACTATTTTCTTGAATGTAAAAAATATTCTTTAATAAGACAATTTTTGTTTATCAACTTTAGGAATATAGGGACTCAGCCAAATTTAGAAACAATTCTTTGTGGTAACAAAAATCTATCTGAAGAACAAAACAACTTAATTTTTAAATATGTCCATAAATTTATTGTAGAAACAAACATATTTTAAATTGTATCCTAATACAACAAGAACTATAACAAGAATTCTATTTCACGAGCTACTTTCAAACTATCTGGATTTTACAAGTGATTGGTACATATAATACATGGTTGTTTCAACACTCGGATTTTGATGTAAAACAATAGCATTCCCTGTAACTATCACAGCTTAGTTACATTCAAGATTTCCCACCCTTCACATAAATTTAAAATGTCTATTACATGTAGTTTATTAACTACTGTGTTATTTTATAAATATATCATGTACCATTGTATACAAAAAAATGTAAATTCATCATATGTATATATGTAGATGTATGTGTGAGTGTATGTAGGTATATGTGTTTGTGTGTAATACTGTATATATATATATGAATATGTGTATGTTATTATATTTTCTCATTACTTGTAATTTCTATGCACTGTACATTTATTCTGCACCACAGAATTCACATACCACAATATAATGAAATGTCTATGGGAGAAGGCCTCGTAAGTGTGTCACTTGTGCCTAATCCATTTGGTTTTCCGAAATAAAATATGTTTAAATCAATACCGCCGCTGGTAGTTTAATTTGTGAAAAACAGCAGGACATTCAGCTGTCGGGGCTATGGGTCAGTGGGTGATTGACGGTTTGTGATGGCGCCAGCTGGGGTAGGAGACGACACACTTTCCAAATTATTTCTCAACCTTATCTAACGCTAATTCAACAAAAGACACAGAGACACATAGTTTTTGATAGAGGCTACTTGTTATAATATTTTGTTAATTAAAATATGTAAAACTATGTATCTCTGGCTGTCTTGTCATCCCTTCATTCAGTAAAGTGGACTGTTCCAACTACCCACATTACCTATAATTATAAATCTCATCCAGGCATGGCATACCCACATCACCTAATTGTATTTTGGTACCTTGTGGGGAGAAATTAGGCGATCTGACACCGTTATATCATCTAACATGGCCAACTCTGCTCTTAAGTAAACAAGAACCTAATCAGTGAGGGGTCCTTTATCATCCATATTTGACTGCTTATAAAAATCTTATATCTCTCCTCACAGCTGGTTATTATATATTTTATATGAAAGCAAGTTGTTTTAACGCCGCTCTCAGCAGCATTCCTGTGATATATGATGGCGGTCTGTTGTATATGAAATAAATGCAAATTGAATCTTGAATCTTGAAAGTTGCAGCTTTTCCGCAAATCAGTATCACATGCAGTATACAGTATATCAACTGCAATATACTG